AAGAGCATGAATTCATTGACCATCATAACAAAACAGGCTCTGCCCCATCCAAATTCTCAGGACTACATAAACCCTAGAAGATACAACTTCCTTTGAACTCATAAATATGTCCAAAAGGCAAACAGCATACACTAAAAAGAGTTTATTAACTAACTACATCTTCTCATTTTATCTTCCTTTCTTTCTGACCTGTTTTGTCTTTTTCTTTTTTATTTCTTTCGTCTTTGCTCACTAATTTTCATCTGCTCTTTACTTTAATGAAATAAAAGGTCCTAGAATGCTAGCTCAGGAAGCCATGTTTGACCATAGGCAGTGGTCACTGCAACTTCAGGAAGAAAGCTGGCTTTAATTGAAAGCAGGGTTTCCTCTGACTCTGGGCATTTAGGTGCAAGAAGAAGAGTGGAGTGTGAATTTGGACTATGAGTTTCCTCCAAGAAGAGATTTGGGTCCTCTCTTTTGATCTCAGAGTTCACAGCTTTGTTACAATGAATAAATAAAGTGCATGTCTACTGGGTCCAGAAAAAAAAAAAATGGAGTAAATGAGCTTTGTGCTGTATTCCTCTGCATTAACAGATACTTCTTGGGGCACCTGGGTGGCTTAGTCGGTTAAGCGTCCAACTTTGGCTCAGGTCATGATCTCACGGTCCCTGGGTTTGAGCCCCGCCTTGGGCTCTGTGCTGACAGCTCAGAGCCTGGATCCTGCTTCAGATTCTGTGTCTCCCTCTCTCTCTGTCCCTCCCCTGCTCATGCCTTGTTTCTCTCTCTCTCTCTCTCTCTCTCTCTCAAAAATAAACATTAAAAAATTAAAAAGAAAAAACAGATACTTCTTAGCTGTTGTTGCTAAAGGGAATATGGCAACAGAACTTTTTGTTCACTATGTACAAGTAGCATATTTCTGTGCCATACCTTCCTTTGTGCAGTAGGTGTCAGCCTCACACAGACTTTCTCTCGCTAAGTCCTTGTTCATAAGAAAATGACCCTCTTACCCACCCTTTCCCAGGTTAAAAGGATCACCTTCTTCCCATCCTAAGCATGCAAATCAATAATAAACAGTCACCCAGATACTGGAAACAGAGTTGTGCTAATGCAGTTGGAAAATGGCCAAACTGAGGACTATGTGAAGGAGGTGACAAATATTGAGGGGAGTGCAGAAGTTCTGTGAGTCACTGAACAGATGTTAACATCAAGGTGGCTCTCTAAAAGGCACAGTTATGACACCAATTTAAGAAGATGTGGACATGGCCCTGATCAAAGTCTTTAAGTAGCTATAGTGTCCTGGTAAAAGCTCTGCATGTGTAAAATATTGACATCCCACTTGCCCAGAAGTAGATTGTCTTGTCTTTGACCTCAGGCAAGACACTTCTCTGAGCCTCAGCTTCCTAATCTTTTTAGAGGAAAAAGTAAGTGGCTTCTCTATCCAAAGTATTTAATAAGGAGGAGAAAAAACCCAGATGTTGTGCATAAAACAGTTTGTAGACTGTAAAGCACTGTTGAAATGCAGAAAGTAGAACAAAAGATACAAAGGCAAATGTAGAATAGTTATGAATAAAAATAATTCAGTGCTCAAAATTTAAGAAACGTCAGTTAATAATTTCTATAGATTTTTTCAGCATGTTACACCAAGACTGTTTTTACTCTTTTGTGTTCAATGTTAGTCATGTGGAATTTTGACACACCTAGGGTTTATTTCACAAAAAGAATCCAACATCAAGAGAGCCATGTAATATGAATAAAAGGTTCTGTTAAAAGAGGGAATAGTCCTAAGTACTAAGTACTTTAGTGGTGTGCTTAGTACCACTATATCCCAAGAATGGATTTGATCCCACAATCCTCCTTAACTTCTTTTTTTAAATTTTTTTTAAAAGTTTGGTTTTTTTGAGAGAGAGAGAGAGAGAGAGAGAGAGAGAGAGAGAAAGTGGGAGAAGGGCAGAGAGAGAGGGAGAAAGAGAGAATTCCAAGCAGGCTCTGCACTGGCAGGGGCTCAAAATCATGAAATCATGACCTGAGCTGAAATCAAGAGTCCGACACTTAACCACCTGAGCCAGGCGCCCCTACCCTCCTTAACTTCTTTAATCATAAATTCAGCTGGCTAAAGCCTGCCATTTTGTGGTCGGTTTGCACTGATTTTGGCAAGAGAACTCAAATTCATCACATTCATGTTTTATCTCATATTAAATTGACACATTTAAATTAGAAATATAAATGTAACTGAAAGAACTCATGTTTGGGAAGGAGAAAGATTATTTGTGTTATACCTTAATGTTGAAATTTGGGCAGAAGTCTTCAAATCATACTGTTTAAAAATGAATCCATCAAATTTTTCCTCAATGCTCTGTCCTTCAGGAAAGGCCAGAAGCAACTCAAAATTGCCATGACTCATGCCCTCCCGTGGAGTTTTGTGCTATATATTCCTTACTTCTCTGTTCTTTTGATTGAAAATGCTATTTATGTATGTATGTATGTATGTATGTATTTAGCTGAGGCTTTCAATTTGCTGTATCTTGAAGTGGCAAAAGGAGAAGAGGTTGAACTCCGAACCTTTGAAACTTCTTAGTACTTGCTGAGTGCTTAAGGGCAAAGTGAAAATATTGTGGATTGGACTTTATCTTATTTGGAAAGTCTTTGCTACAATAGTTCAACCATCCTTATTAAAAGGAATTAAGTATTTATTTTTCTTAAAATGCAGAGTCTTTTGGAACATTTTCCAAAAACTGAATTTCTGTATTTAGCAGTCAGCTTGGGGACCTTTGTTTTTTAGACCCACTTTAAAATCAAGTACTTTTGCATAATATATTTAATATGGATTCGAAATGATTTTAGCTTATGGGCGCCTGGGTGGCTCAGTCGGTTAAGCGTGTGACTTCGGCTCAGGTCACGATCTCTTGGTTTGTGAGTTCGAGCCCTGTGTTGGGCTCTGTGCTGACAGCTCAGAGCCTGGAGCCTGATTCGGATTCTGTGTCTCCCTCTCTCTCTGCCCCTTCCCTGCTCATGCTCTGTCTCTCTCTGTCTCAAAAATAAATTAAAAAACATTAAAAAAAAATTTTTTTTTAAGAAATAATTTTAGTTTAGATTTATAGTGTGGTCTGCTATATTGCTTCTTGCTGTTTTTTTTCAAAGTACTTTACAATTATAAATAGATATCATTGCTCTCACCATAAGGCAGCAGTTCCTGGGTGAAATTCTTCATGGAAGCCAAGACACAATATCAACATGATAAGTTGGTAATTTCTTTTTTTCTTTTTTTTAAAGTTTTTTTTTTTTTTTAACATTTATTTAGTTTTGAGAGTGAGAGAGAGACAGAGCATGAGCAGGGGGAGGAGGAGAGAGAGAGGGAGACACAGAATCTGAAGCAGACTCCAGACTCTGAGTAATCAGCACAGAGCACGACTGGGGCTTGAACTCACAAACTATGAGTTCATGACCTGAGCCAAAGTCAGTCGCTCAACCGACTGAGCCACCCAGGGGCCCCAGTTGGTCATTTCTTAACATCAACACTCTGTTTTGTGATCAGAGAGGTCTTGATAGCTCTTCACTCCTTCCCCAAGCTGTCTTTCAGATAATTTATGCATGCAAAAAATACTAGAAGCTGTGAAAGGCTCCATCCTACCAGATTTTGTGTCATTCTTTCCTGGGTCCAGAGCGGGAGTCATTTTCATCCTGCCTTAGCTAACACAGAATAGAGCTGTGAACAGTAAGGCTACTACCTCTTCCTGGTGATTCTGTTTCACCTATGCTCTTCACAGCTCACAATTCTACTAAATGAACCTCTTTTCCATTATTCTTAATTCTTTCCATTCCCCTCCCCCAGCCGCGCATTTCCTTCTACTTTCAGAAACTTGAAGACAAGGTCCCTACAAGCTTCTCTCCTGTATCCTCAAATGATCCAGATATAAATATTTTAGCACAGTCGCCTGTGTATTTCTGAGGAAGTGTCTGCACAACCGGTCCCTTATTTATAAAGCTCACAAATGCTGTATGACCTGTAATGCTATACCAGCTAATGATCTCTCCCAGAACAGTTGACATGGAAGGATTTTACTTCCACTTCTCACAAGGAGAAAGATGGAGAATGAGAGACGATTACAAAGCAGAATATTTTAATCCATCTTCTCGGTGATCTTTGGGGGCTGTGTGCTAATATTTAAATTGAAGAGGAGGGAGGAGACGGACTGAGGATGGAGAGAAGCCGAGGAGATGGGGGCGGAGCTAGCTCAGCCTATAAAACCCCATGCTAAAAGGGAAGCACATTCGTGTGTGCCAGGGCCACTCTCCCGTAACCTAGAGAGATGGGGCAGTCTGTGCCGTGAGGACGGAGCTTGGAAGAAAGAAAACAAGGACAGGAAAACAAACAAGACATAAGAGGACATCTGGAGAAAGCGGAAGGCAGAAGACAGGGAGGGGAAAACAAACCCACAGCAGGTGGAAACAAGATCTAGAGCAAACCGGTCTGGTCCACAGTTGTTTTTCTGGAAGAGAAGAAAGTACCGGAGGACTGCCTTTTTTTCCTTCAGTTAATGAAAACTCTTATCTTCATCATAAAAGAAAAGGCTAAGGGGAGGTAAAGACAATCTTTGTTTTCTTGGGGGCAGAGCTGAATGAAACCCAGATTAGCTCTTTGAAGCGGCTAAAATAAGCCACTGCCTGGTACACATTGCAGAACCATTCTGGTCTCTGAAGATCTACATCCCCTTCAGGAAAATTCCAGCTGGAGTAGCTGGCACAGTTCTATTTTTATATTTAAATATCTATGTCTCTTTTCCCCCCAGTTTTAACAACCCTTTCCTTGTTTGTAAGCACGAGTGACAAGAAAGTGTCAATACAGAATAGGAAGATTTTCAGTTTTTTCTTTTATCTGCCTGAGTCTTTTTTAAGAGGGTAGGAGTGGTCCTTATTTCAGAAAAGGACATTTCAATTTGAAAGACAATCTCTTAAAATATATTTACACCCACACATATTTAGAAAGAGAGATACCTTTCGGAGGTTGAAATCCAATGGTAAAGATGGAAAAAGGAGCCAGGCACCGAAACAACACTGAAAAGAACCACCCAGGTGGGAGCAAATCGGATACCACCCCGGAGTCTGGTTCTGGAGGGGGCGGAGTAGCCCTGAAGAAAGAGATTGGATTGGTCAGTGCTTGTGGTATCATTGTAGGTGAGTCCAATTTCCTTTCCCATCCACCACCTCTCCCCTTCTCTGGTGGTCCTCTTGTGGAACCTATGCCCCCTCTAAAGTGCTATCTTTGCTTCCTACTCCCTTAGAAAAGGATTGTCATTCACCTGTGCTGTAACCCATCCCCAGTGGTCATATTTGATGGGTCTAGGAAGCTGTGTATGTCTTGCATCTCTTCCTTCAAAGCAGGCTGAGCAGTTCTGTCCAGTGTTCATAGAATGGAGCAAAGAGGGTTCATACACCTGGCTGATGGTCAGCATTGCCCGGGAGCTTGTTGAAAATACGAGTCTTCTGGCTCCACACTTGAAGGTTCTGATCCAGTTGGCTTAAAGTGGGGCTAGGGAACCTGAATTTTTAACAGGGTTTCATGCAGCCATCTCTTTAGCAGGTTGGGGACTGTCTTGAGACATATTTAGTAGATGTTTGGTTGTTTTATGTCCTATGAAACATAGGGGGCCTAGGGAATGGATAATAAAAATGGCTACAACGGCGCTAATAATACCTTGCCTTCCTATAGCTTTTTTCATCTTATGCAGCACTTTCACTTTGTAAAGTAGATGTGATGGGGCTGTTATTCCCATTTCACAGATGAGGAAATAAATTATGGAGAAAGGGAGAGACAGATTGTGCCTCTCTGTAAACAGACAGTTTGCAGTTTCTCTAGTTGCCTGTGAGTCTGCCCACCTCCTAACATTCATGGAAGACCTTATGAGGCTCTCAAAGAATGACTAGAACGTGGAGTCAAGGAGGAACCGATGGTTAAAATGGGTCCCAGCTGGAAGACTTTGACTTTGAGGCTGGGCGGCCTGAGTGTTCTTGAGAGTGCCAGTATAGGCCACTCCAACCCCCTAACCACACACTGCTTGGCAGAGGGTCCCAAATATGGTTCTGTCTCTAGACAACACATCTTCCTCTTTCCAGAGAGGCCCTGGAGATGGATGGGCAATGGCTCATTACTTCAGAGAGTGAGCATTTCTTCTGTTTTTGGTCGAAGGTTTTACAGACTTCCCAGAGAATGGGGTGAGGGATGGTCAGGCCAGATATGTTTGTGTCCTCTCTCCAAAGTTCCTTTTGAACTTTTTTCTATTGCCCTATTGCCCTATTGTCCTACTGCCCATGAATCAGTGTCTCTGGATGAGCCCATATTACATGCACAGAGGCATTTTGGCACCCGAGCAACAATGACATTGGAGAACGCCCTTGAAATCAAATAAAATCAGTATAGTATTCAGATAATCCTCTTCACCTCTACACCCAGACTTTGGTGATCATGTTATCTCCACTCTGTTTTCAAAATGGAATCCCATTCTATCTAATTCTCTTGACTCTGGGAGGTTTTCCAGGTATTTACAGTTAAAAGAAATGTAATGTTATTTTAGAAAATTAAAATCATGATCTGAATCTCTCATTACCTTTTCTTTGCTTCTCCTTTATCTCAGTTGCTCAAAAAATGAGATCAGCAAAGTACTCAATACGTACAGCACATGCCAATTTATGGTCTATAAATAGCCCAGAGCCTGTTACCTCTTTCACCAGTTTGACTGATAGGATTAAGCATTTTCCTCCTCTTATTCATATGCAGATGTGTACACCTACATGCACACAAGCACAATCAAACCTTTCCTGCCTCAGCCTTGCTCACCTACCTCTGTATATGTGCAGGTATTCAAGGGTGGAGGACATTTCTCTATATCCTGAGGTGGTTCTTGTCTCTTTCTTCAACAGGTTTCTAAATGTTGAAGAAATACAATCTTAGTTGGGTAAATATTACTACTGCTTTACCCACAATCTCATAGATTGAGCTTCAGTGTGAAAATAGTCCCAATATTCCCATTGACATTACAGTGACAAGAATAATAACTCTAAGGTAAAGGGAGATCCCAAATAGGTGATTTCAGAGAAATCAGGATATTTTTCCAAAGTGTGAGAATCTTTGTAGAGTTAATAGGCACTATTCTAGCTCCATTTAAACTAGGGTGAGACACAGATTTTCTCTAGGATTATATGGGGGCAAAATTTTTTCTGCTTTTGTCAGAAGGACATCTGCTTCCAGGAAAAAAAATTCTTCTTGCTTCCCCTCCTGCATGGCTGTTGAATTGCAGATATGCTGAGCAGCAGCCCCATTCTCTTCTAGAGGGGTTTCTGAGTGGATGATAGTGATTCAAATTTTTTCAAGACCAAATGCAAAAATAGAAATGGCCTTTTCCATGCAGAATTCAGTGATCTGGTGTTCAACTTCAAGACTGTGGAAGAAAGAAAATTAGAAGGCAAAAAGAGGAAAGAAATTTCCTAAGTGAGTCCAGTGATATGGTATGGGAAAGTAACATCTGCCCCAAATCCAACTATCTCATACCCAATTGACTTAGAGGGATAAGTTAAACTATATGTTTCATACAAGCTCATAAAATTTTATTAACAAGCATCATTGATGATCTAAAGTAGGAATAATAGAATGGTAGGTGTTACAAGAATGTAGACTGAACTAATAGAAACCCATGCCCTAGAGTTACTTATAATCTGACTGGAGAGATGACATTCATATACATTAAACAAATAATGAAATTAATGAAATAGTTGAGTTGTGTAAGAGCTGAATAAGGTCAAAGTTAGGTGAATGGTAGGAAGCACAAGGAGAGAAGTCTCATCCAGCACTAGATTAAGAAACATCTTGAGGATGTTGGAAAAGATGGAATAGAGAAGATGATTCTAGGAGATTTCATAGGTAAAACATTGACAACTAGGGGCAGCTGGGTGGCTCATTCGGTTAAGCGTCCGACTTCGGCTCAAGTCATGATCTCACGGTCCATGAGTTCGAGCCCCGCGTCGGGCTCTGTGCTGACAGCTCAGAGCCTGGAGCCTGCTTCAGATTCTGTGTCTCCCTCTCTCTCTGACCCTCCTCCGTTCATGCTCTGTCTCTCTCTGTCTCAAAAATAAATAAACATTAAAAAAAAAAAGAAACTTTAAAACGTTAACAACTAAACTGTTATTCCCTTGAGCAAAAACAAACAAACAAAAATGTATCTTCTACATCTCTGAATCTTTAGTGTTTAGCCCTATATGGAACAATAACTCAAATGATTGTTGAACTTTATTGGCTCTTGGGAAAGGTCTGCATATAGTAGTAATAAGAAGTGTTTATCTGAAGGACTGTTGGGAACCTGGCTTGAAAATCTTTAAGCAAGGAATAATTTCATCAACATAGACAATTAGGTTGGGCCATTAAAAAAAAATTTTTTTTTTAAGTAAGCTCTACACTCAACATGGGGCTTGAACTCACAAACCTGAGATTAAGAATTGCATGCTCCACTGGCTGAGCCAGCCAGGCATCCCAGGCCATTTTAATTTTTAATATCACCTTTACCTTAATCTAACCAGTCTATTGTTCTCCATGTACTTGGCTAAGGAAATCTGGTGACAACAGATGAACTTAGATTTCACTATGAATGTGTAGTTCCCCCCAAATCTAAAGAGAGTGTGACACAGCAGCAAAATTCATCTAATGATACCGAAGTTACTGTTAAGAGCTATCTTTTTTTTTTTTTT